GTTCTGTGATTTGAAATCTCTAAAAAGGGCTCTATAATCTCCCAAGAACCAAACAGAAATTGAAGGTTGCAAGTTTGAGATCTAACAAACACTGGTTCTTTAAAAAGCCCACGGGTACCAAGACAACTGTGAATATTAGCATGATAACCATGCTAAATCATGAAGGTATGTTGAACTCCAATACCTGTACTGGCGAATGTGCTAAAATTTTAAAGCAATCATCAAAATCTAATCTCAGGGAATACTATTCTTATAGAAGATGCACTTGAAAGATCTAAATTGGTCATTACAGATAATTTCTCAAGACTTAAATTTTACACTACTGAAGTCACCAAAATGTTTAGGTATTCTATATCCAATACATATTTGAACATAAAATGAACACTTCATAAAACAAGCTATAAAATTCAGCTGTATTTCACCCAGTTTCCAAAAATCTAATATAATCTCACCAAGAAAACAAAACTATGTAGATTTGCAAAACTATATATTCCTATCAATTTTACCTGCACTTTATTCACAAAATTGAGACACGCCCAAGTAAACAATTCTACCAAACACTTGGCAGGTATACATCTCTTTTTAAGTGGCACTTTTTCACTCACTCCTGAACTGTGACATCCCCTTCATGACAGCTTAGTAACTACTCATTTCTGTTATTGCTGAAAATACTCGTAACAAAAATTCTTTTTTCAAGGTGATGTTGTTAAGATGCCAGTGAGAGTCAATTCCAACTCATAGTGACCCAATGTACAATAGAACACACTGCCCGGTCGAGTGCCATCCTCAAATGTTTATCGAGGTACAATAGACATTCATTCATTAACATAGCCTTCCCTGATTTTTCTGTATTTCTAATGCAAAGCTTCATTTTTAATTACTGTGAATGTTACATATGTGGCTTTCAAAAAACCAAGGATTATTTAGGAAGATAATGGGAAAGACAAAGACAATGGAAATTTCTACCAACGTTTTAAAGCCTCTAAGTTTTGTGTACACAAAAATTCTAAATCCTGCCTATTCGGCAAACCCACAGCCAAGTTTGGAGCCAGCTCAAGAGACCCTGTAATAGGGCAGACTGCCTAGAAAGGCTTTTCCAAGGTTAACATCTTAACTGCCTATTCTTCCTCCAGTGTAGTAGTAGCTGGTGGGTGGGTTCCAGCAACTCTTCACGAGGAGAGCTCCTTACCAGGACTGCTACTACATGAGTTTTTAGAATGGGGACTCTGAAAAAACATGTTTCCCAAGACTTGACCAAGTGATTCCACTATGAACCAACTTTTGCAAGTCACTCACTGTTCAGCAACTATTAAAGCTTGACAATTCCTTCTGATGCTTATTTACACTGTGCCTAAGGCTTTATTTACTCTATAATTTAAGTAGAGTTGTGAAAAAGCCTAACATATTTTCTACTCAACTATTCAAGGCTAGTCTCTAAAATACAAACCATTTATAACATACTGACCTGCATTTTTCTCCAGCAAAGGTTAACAGAGTACAATTATTACAAGTAAACATGGATGCAGGCAAGTTCAAATACTCTTCCCTTTGCTTTTGAGGCATGTGAAATAACGCTGTGAAGAGTTGTTTTAGTTAAAATTTTAAAATCCCGTTGACGAGAAATATTTTTCCTTTCTGGTCACAAAATCAGTTCACCAATAATTTTCACACGTGGCAGGAAAAAAAAACATTACTAGGCTATTCAAAAAGAAAGCGAAAAAATCTAATTATCGGCAAGTTATCTATTTGAAAAATATACTAATGCCTTTCACTTTTTTTTTTTTTTTTTTTTTTTACAAAAGCTGAACTCTTTGGAAACACATTCCCAGGTACTTTAAGTATGGTGGAAATGTAAAAGCAAAGGCGGAAAGAACTCGAGAGAAATCCGTCGGGAAAACAGCCGCCAACCGGAACGTCTAACGAACATTCCGGGCCTACTTCCCTCGCGCGATCAGGCTGACAAGCCCCGGCACCAAGCCCCGGCAGAGGAAGCCCCCGCCCCTCACCCCGCCCTCGCCGCGCACGCAGCGGGACGCCGCCGCGCTAGACTAGCTCCTCCCTCCAGCGAGCGCCTGACGTCACGGGGCGGACTTGCTCGAGACGCGCCGCCGTTGACCCAGCTGTTACCAAGTGCGCGCACAGCCAATCAGAGCTCGGCGCCAGCGCCGGCCGGCCTTTGAACTCGGCACGGCAACTTCCTGCTGTTTGGCGAGTACACAGTGCAATGCAGTATGTCTGTCAGCGCTGCGGCACAAAGGAACAGCCATTTTGTGACTGAGCTGGACCTGCACCAAGGTGCCAGGGGCTCACAAGAGCGGCTGCCTGCTCCAACTACCGAGCTGTCTTTTATTGCAATCCCAGAAAGTCAAAGAAGAGATGTGAAGGGAATAAAGAGGTTCTTGATATTTCAGGTTCTTACTCTCTTTAATTTTCAGTCTTCTCAAAACTACCACTTTTAAAGAATTGTCATAAAATGGCTGCCACGTAAACTGCCTATTCCAGTCTAAAAGCAACTACAAGTGCCATTTCTAAATAGCCTCAGCATTTTAGAATCACTGCTAAATGTATGATCAAAAAGCTGATGATTTTTGCCCACATCTCAGGTTATCAAAATAAATTTGGCTCAAACTTGTGGGTAGATTTCATAGTTTTTTTAAAAGTTCTTAAATTGCACGTTAGCATCCTAGAACACAGCAGTCTGGGCGGCCCATCCACATTCCTCGTTTCCATTCTTTAACACTCCTGATAACTCCAAACTGCAAGCTATTTAGATAATGTATGTGATAACATAGTTCTACAGCTAGCACCCTTCAACATACTTAGAAAACCTAGACACCAAATATTTAAGCCTTTTTGAAAGTAAACTTTAATCTTAAAAAACAAATTGCAACAACGGAATTGAGCACTGATTACAAGAATACAGACAACAAACTTACATAAACTAAGGACCGTGCTATTTCAAAAATTGTCCGTATTGTCAGGAGTTCCTAGACACTTGTGTCAAAGAAACTAGGTCCTGGTAGAGAAAGTAATAGGGCAGGAAAGAAAATACTAGTTTCCCATCACTTCATACCCTCACTAGAAATCACATTAATCTATTTTATTAAAACGCCATTAAAATCCTTCAGCTTGAACAATTTTGAAAGGAAGTGATGTCACAATTACATACATGTAGTAAAATAATTCAGGGTAACAGTAATTTAAAAGTAACTCCCTCTTCTTTTCATGGAATCTCTCCAAGTATTTTTGTACATTCCTCAGGTAGATGATTCAAAGTTTTAACTAACAAAACTTATTTTAAAGTATTTTAAAACTTATTTAAAAGCATGCTTCTTCTTCAGTTGTTAGCCCATTGCCAGGAGGCAAATATATGACATCTTCCACATATTTTCCAGGTGAGAGTAAAAGTATCAGAAGGGGGGACCAACTTGGCTTGACTGTAAATTAGAAAGCATAGTATCATCAGTGATGTGAACCACAAACCTTGCATAAGCCAAAACCCATGTGCGACTATGCAAATCATATACACAAGGGAATAAGAATTTCAGCTATTGAGTCTTTAATAATATGTGTAATATATCTGTGGGTTTCCTACTTCTTCTGATGATCCTAACTTTCCAGAAAAATTAGTTCACGATTAGTACAAAAGATTTCTGTCCTAAATATAACCTAAGTTATTAAATGAGCTCAGTTCAAAAGATAGCAGTCCAAAAAAACCAACAAGCAAAAGAACTTGGGAGCATATTTTTAAAAAGGTGAATTATTTTGAGATGTAATAAAATACAAAAATTCGACATTTGTAATAAACAAATCCCAGCCAAAATTTGCAAATTCACTAGTCTAACAGCAAAGTATTTTTGCTAGAGAACAATTTTAATGTAGAACTTGGTTTTTTAAAAAAAAAAAATCAATGAATCTTAATTAACTGAATGATTTTTAAAATTTTAACAATTTAGAAAAATATACATCAAGAAATGCACTCGTGTACCTTTAAAATTGGTATGCATGCATCAAGCAACAAAAACATCCTAGAGGTTTTTTTCACTAAAAAATTCCTTCAGCAAATATGAAGCAAATTCATAATTTGTACAAACATTTATAAGCTTCATACAATAAAGCATTCCAGACAACTGTCGAAATAAATCAGTAAATTTTAAAGCACCTACAACTAAGGATAAAATATATGCCAACCAGAAAGCATTACCAGAATATAATACAAAAACACACCTTAAAATACCTTAAAATGTAAAAACCCCATTGTAAACCTAATTACAATAACAAAAGCTAAACTTTAGTATATTAACAGTATTCCAAGATTTCTGTGATCATAAGCTTCATTCCATAAACACAGAAATTGTATCTATCAAGTAAAAGTTCTGGTAAATCATTATCAAAATATCTTAAAATGTCAAGAGTATCCAAAGAAACATAGTCAAGTGAAAATATAAACTGAGAGCCATCAGTCAAAGGGTCCTTTTTGCAATTTCAGTTTTAAATGTACATTTTTTCATTCATACAACTTTCTCAAACGTCGATTTACTATAATTTACTACCACAAGGCTGCTCTATGGCCTTCACTTACAAGTTTGGGTATCCTGATGCTTCAAAGAAAAATCTGCCTTGTATGTAAAATGGTGCAATGCAGCAATGGCTAAACCGACAAGGTCATTTTTCTGCAGCACCAAAAAATCTGAAAACTGAAGTTTATTGATAGTAAAAACTGTGATTCACAGGAAAGGTCCCTTCGACGAAAGGGACCTTACCTTTCGACTGCTGTTTAAGAGGCCTTAAGTCACAACTCAACTTTCATAAATTGCTACCAAAAAATTAGGGTGTGGCATATTGGCAATCTCAAGGTCATGCTTTAAAAAAACGAATCTAAATTAGTAAAATATTAAAAATAAAGCAGTCAGTAATCCCTGTCTGCTAAGGTAAACAATGTAAGCTGAGGTTTCCAAAAAAAGAAACAACAAAAAAGGAAGAAAGTTCATAGCTCATACCTCGATACATTGCTGTGTAGCGAACTGTCCTCCTCTTGGCTTTTGTCCTTATTTCTCATCATCTTTTAATTCTTAAATATTAAAGGGGAGGGGAGATCTGTTTGCTTTGAAGTCCTGTGCCCAGGTATTTACTGTCAAAAGTTGAAAGAAAGGTAAGGTCCCAGCTTCTACCGATGCTTTTTATTAACAGGAACAAAGTCCTGACGAGGTAACGAGTGTTATAATGCAACAACGGCAAGCACCAAAAGACCAAAATATTTCCATTTTTCCTTAAAAAAATAAAAGGGTGAGATAAACCGAGCAGGGGAAACATTACTACCAATAAAGAAAGTTTCACAAAGTAACACACTGAATACAAATAACACTCTCTGTATCTTATTGCGTCATCCAGGAATTTCTCATATTTACAGAAAATAATACGAACTTAGGCATTTAAATCTTTTAAATGATCACTAATGATCATGAACTTACCTGATCCATGTAGTAGGTTCAATGCGAGAGTCCTATCTAGTAGAAAAAGATCTGATCCCAAATAATTAAAAATAAAGCGAAAGTCCTCGGTTAAAAAATGAAAAATAAATAAAATAGTCCTCAAATATGTTAACAGGTCAAAAATAACGCTGCAAAAATTACTACTAAAACGGGTCCGGAAGGAAAAAACCTCATTAGGAGAGCGCACAAAAATGGAGGTGCGCCATGGCTTCTAAGCTGGAAAAAACAACGACCTGGGCTCTCAGTACGGCTGCTTCTTTCCAGCAAGGCACGAAAAGAAAGCTCTTAAAAGCTGCTTTTCTCCCTAAAAAAGGTCGGAATCGACCCCAGTAAGTCACTAGGAGAGGCAGGGGGCTGCGGGGGCCCCCTGAGGCTGCCTGAAAGTTAGGGAAAGTTGCGTAAAGTGAGGCGAAGGCAGGGAGCAGAGCGCGCTCTCTCTAAGGCACAGCCGCCATCTAGAGCCTCCTTCCCAGCTCTGAGAGCTCTGCCTTTGATTGACACTCTCTACATTTACCCCACAACTCAGGTGATGTACCATAGACCCACCCCTTCATCTCCACCAAAAAAAAAAAAGATCCTTCATCCCAGGGAGTGAGGACCCCCACCCCCACACCTCTTTACCCCACCAGACCACCCCATTAGGGGGAGGGGGAGGGCTTCATAACCCCCTCCTGGCTCAAACACCCTTTCTAAGCCAGAGAGAAATGTAATTTGTTCCTTTTGTTTAAAGATCTGCTAAATATTTCAGTCCTTGAGCTAAAATAACTTCCTTTCTGGACAGGAAGTGGTGCTCTATCAAGCCATTTTGAAAAAGGGGATTATTCTTAGAGAACCTACAGCTTAATTTAAATATTCATTTAAGTAGCAATTTCTTTAATTATCCCCATGGGTAAAATTGTTTCTAAATAAAAGCAAAACCTAAATTTCATAAATCAAGTCTTGCCTTCTAATTATGTAGAAAAATCATATGAAAACAAAATTAAAGGGGGAATTTTCCATCCGAACTGGAAGGGGTAACTTTTGCTACTCAATAGCGCCTCCCTAGTGTTCAGATGCATTACAGCAAAAAAATTTATGCAACCAGCAATTTGATCCCAATTACCTAATTATTTCTTTGTATTTCAACAAAATGCTTTAACTCATTATATAAACTTGGAAACTTTATCAAAAAAAATTCTCGAGTGTTTACATCTTACATTCAGTTGTACAAGTCTTCAAATTCAAGAATGAGTCTACTATACTTATCTTTAACTCACAAGCTCAAGAAACAACACAAACCAACAACTTTTCCCTCAAATTTCAATTCTAAGTATACACCCAATTCAACATTGGTAAATAATCAGGTGGCAAGTAATATTCACTGAGCAAATGCTATTTAAAATTTTTAAACTATGAGATCTGAGGAAACAACCTATAAATCTGACCAAAGAAACATATTCAATTTTCTTTCACCAAATACTCTAAACAGATAAAATGAAGTAAAAGCACACACACACACACAAATCCAATTTACTATTCTAATTCAACATGCAATCAGCCAGACTATATCCTTCCATCATTGAGGAAACTCCATTTTAGATTTAACACCCAACAAAGCAACAATGTTATAACTAGGTAAATATAAAATCCATCCTCAAACCAACTCAATACTCTATTCCCTACAGACAGCTTTTGTACCAAAATCAAAATCCGAAATTCCAAAAATTCCACTTTTGAAAGTATTTAAGGAACAAACACAAATCAGTAAACGAGAACAAATGCATGTATTGCTCATATATATATGCTATGGTCATTGAAATTAATCATAAACATAATATTAAATATTTCTAACAAAAAGTCATAGTAATGTAAAAATGTCCATATATAACATGAAAATAAAACCATCCTTTCACTAGGCCTATCAGGATAATGAGTACCATCTTTAAAACACCAATTGAAAGCATCAACAATAAATGAAAAGCTGGTATTCACCTTGCATTTGATATTAAAAGTAATCAAATGGCATATTGCTCATTTACCATAATCTGAATTCTCAACTGCAGAGAAGAACCATATAAAATAATTCTTTCATATTTACTTAAGGTATATATTTATAATTATCATCACCCAAGATTTTAAGTCTTTACGATTATCCTACATCTAGCCTATAAAACCAACATATCTCTGAATATTATCTATTAAGATAAACGGCATGCACTTAAATATCCTGATCAACATTCCACTGCAAGGCACGTAGTCAAAATTGAAGAATATGGGTAATGGGGACCTTTTCAATCAACACAAAATAACTCAAAAGAAATACTGTTATCACACACATCTTGAATTGTGGGACCAAAGGCATTTTGCATTAGAAGTTCATTAAAATCTCATGACATTTTAAAGACTCTATTACCTCATGACTTAAGTTTTTTTGCCAAGGCATCTCAAAAGGGCACAATGAAATAGCGTTTCAATCATGTGACTATATCTAAGAACAAATAGTCATGACTTTGTGAAGAATGTAAAAACATTTTCCAGTATACCATGTCCATTTGACCAGCTTTATTCAGTGTATTTTAGTGATCTCAAGGGTAAAGGTCAAATCATTATTAAGGCCATAACTAAACATTTAATGAAACCGTTTAAAAAAAAACCGCACAAACAGAAAATTTTAAAAGTTAGAAATTTTATTAAGGTTAACATTCCATAAGATCATACTCAATACAAATTTAACTGTAAAAACATCCAGGCATACGGGCTATCATCTATGTTAATGTGCCATCTTTAAATGCCAAAAATGTCCTTGTTTTAATAATTCCAAGTCTTTAGAAAGTCAAATCCATTGTCCATTTGGTTGAGTTAAGAAACCTATTATCTTCTTTCAATTCATGGGATCCATGTTAAAGGAACCCTGTCTTGGTTGTGTATTATCACAGCAATTCTTGGATTAATCCATTTTCCTCAATTCCCCAGAGTAGACAGCCATCTTGATTTCTGAGGTAGGGTCCATTTGAGACTCTTCAAGCTGACTGGGTGCTTTATGAAAAAAATTAAAAGAAAACAATGCTGTTGGAATACCAATGATCTTAGTCTTCAAACAGAGAGAATATCCACCCACCTAGAAGATACCCTTTACCACCAACAAGTTTTAATTTGCAACCACATTAGGCCACGGAATTTGCAAATGAAAGCTGTATTCACAGCACTCAGGGCTGATTTAGTTATAACCTCACAGTGATAGAATCAAAACATTGTACATAAATTACAAAGTTTTGTCATAGATACATTTGTATCCACAGAAAAGTGTCAGTGAAGTCAAATGTGTAGCACTAACGTTATGTAAAAGAAAAATGAAATCCTAGAAAGGCAAATTACAGCAACCTTGAAGATTCAAAAACTCAGTAGAGAACTTCCCAAGCTTCTTCAAAAACTTAAGGAATTTTAAGGAACTAAAAAGAAAAAAATCAAAGCAGTGGATCATAGCATACCTTTTCCATAAACATGTTAATGTTGCTTCAACAACGCAAATAGCCAATATAGATACTATCATTGTTATCTGTATATATGAGAATGCACGAAATACGTAGTCAGCATAAAAAAAAAATAGCAAAACTACATGTCCACCTAGCTTTAAGGTTTGTCACAAAATGCTTTATAGGCATTCTAATATACAACTTAAAACTTACACTACAAAAATACCCAATGTTCCTCACAGAAAAAGAAATATTTTCCCTAAATAATTTGAACTGAAGAAGCAAGAAGATACGTGATTTTATTTACTCATATGATCCTGCTTCATCATGACCAAATATTAATTGCAAAAACAAGTTTTATTAAAACCCTGACCTTCACTAGACATTTCACAGCTATCCAAGTAAAATAATAATACAGGCAGAGCAACTGGCTTGAAATTAGTTAAATATAAGTATATTTTGGGAAATTAGGTAACTTCCTTATACCCAAAACATTGACATACGCTGTCATAATACAAAAATCTACTAAAATTATTCCGTTTTCCAGTAGACAGTACTACACTGGAAAGGAGTATCAATAACATCAATAACTAGCTATTTCTTCTTTATAAATTGGCTAACATCCGCAGCCTAAATATATCTGAGTAACTCATTCATCCCCCTGAAAAGTATAGTATCCCATTTGATATAAAAATGGAAAATTAGATTTCCACTCTTTTAAGAGTTAACTATAAAACAATTTTTCTCCAATCTGTTAAAACAAAGATCTTAAGTTTACTTCTTTAAATGAAGTTGACCATGACAACACTATGATACACAATGACACAGAAAATGCACCGATAAAAAGTTACGATCATTTCAGCACCTAGTGGTGCATGCACTAAGTGGTAAACTCAATGCTTTATCTCTTTCTACAATGGCACCAGAGGTAAAATTAATCTAAGATTTGTTCTTTTCAAAGCCATTATTTTAAAAGAACTGAAGAGATTTGGAAATTAAGCTATTTTCAAAAACTATCCACCTATAATGTGACAACGAAGATTAGAAAATACCATGGCAAGTTTGTCATAGTATCATATACATTCAGTACTTATTTAAAATGCTTTTTGAAAGTCACGAGAAAAGTTATTTTGACAAGAAAAGGGCAGGATCAAGCTACCTCCCCTTCAAAGCAAAAGGCGAGAATTTTGTTAAAAAACAAACAGAAGTCAAAGATAAAAGTATCTTAAGGAAGAATTTAAGAAATGATCCACTTTCAGGTCATGAAATTCTAGAGTCTTGTAAAAGCTAAAACTACAAATAAGCTAGATTAAAAAATGAAACAAATCTGACAAGGGGTTCATGAGACTAGAAGTTAACAAAAGCCTTATTAGTTCCTTAAACCATTCAAATGAAAATGCTGGTAGAACCTACCTAACTTCATGAGGTTGTACCAAAAGTTAAGTGAATTTGTGCATTTCTAATAATTAAAACCATGTCTAACATGCAGAAAGGCCCCAATACATACTTACTATTATTCAGATGTACTAGAGGAAGTAACCGAAGTTATTTGGGAACCTAGAACTACCCTTACAGAATCAAGATCTTTTATATTCCAATAGGAAGGAAACCTCTGAAGAACACTTGGATCAATCATTTTAAAACACGCTCTGGTTTGAAAACAAATTAGTCTTGCATCAAAATACAAACTAGGTAGGAGACTGACATCAAAATTCCACTCCATATCCGGCTTCAGTAATTTGGGAGTTATCATAGACATACTCTATGATTTGAGCCAGGAGTCTATCGTTTGTCAGATTGATACCACTACTGTATTTGTTGTATATGCCGTTTTCAAACGCAATTATGTGAGGCTAGTAGTCATTTTCACTACAATATCAAATAGTTTACACTTCCTTTTTAGTATAAATGGCTTATTCTAAAATACTAATTGCCAAGAGCAATGGTAAAACTTCTATGGCAATCTATCACAATGAATAACTGCTGTCCTAAAATTCCCAAATACTTTCCGAGGAGGCTTCAGAAAGTTTGTGGAAAAGCGGAATTTTTCCACATATTTGTTGATGCTCTCTTGTACCTCCACAAGTTAAGAGCACAGAAGTAAGCACGGAGGTCCTTCTCTTTAAATCATACTTCAATATATTTGTTCTACAACACTGGGGCCTTATAAAACTGTTGGTTAATACTCAATTGATTCATCAGATGACTGGAGTTTAATTAAGTCTCCAGCTTGTCCCAATTTTAATACCAAAGAAAACTGTAGGGAGTAGGAGAAAAAGAAAAGGAAATTGATTCTTATTTTTTTCAAATGAGTGGCTATCACACAGCTACTATTTATTATATAAATCTTATATTATTTTCAGACACCCAAAATTATTGCAAACCAAAGGAAAAGTACCAAGTTACATTTAGGAAAACATTCATCCTCCCTATCATATAATTAAGATGCTTAAATGTTTTATCAATTAGTTCCATCATCTTTGTACTACTACTTAAGATATAAAATCTTAAGAAATTTCTGTAAGAAAATTGTGAAAATAAGCCCAGTTTATTACCCAAAAAAGAAAAAAAAAAAGGGCTTGCCATAAAATATGTATTAACACCCAAGATCCTAAATAAAATAAGCTTTATAAAAACCATACAATTACTTTTAATAAAATTAGCCATCTGTTAACCATCAATATCAACATATAACTAAGAAAAGGAATCTTAAGGTTTTATAATCAATCATCCCAATTGTACCTATCAGTCTAAAACTTAACTATAAGTACAAGTGAAGGAACTAAGTGTTACACTTTGTTACCTTCAATTTAAAAAATACCGTCTTTATGATTTTGAATCAAACATTTGGTTTTCAAGCACATGTAAAAATTTGCACTTAAGGCATTACAACTTGTATTTTAATAATCGGTCTCACTATACTTTTAAATTAGACCTAAACATGAGTTGATTTACATTTAATACACAACAGAAATTACATCAAAAAGCATATATTGAATACATCACTATGTGAACACTTTAGAATCTATTAGACTTGAGGCTTATTAATTGTATGAGTGGAACGTCAAAAAATTTTTGGAAAACCTTCCGTATCTTTTAATTCAATTTCTCCATGAACTTTTAGAAGGCCCTTCACACTATATTAAATACAAAAAGGAACTATTTTGTAGGCCCCATTGGCCATTTCATAGCGACCCTATAGGACAAAATGGAACTTGTCCCTGTGGGTTTCTGAGACTGTAACTCTTCATAGGAATAGAAAGCCCCATCTTCAACTCAATGGCAGTTGGGTTTGTTTAGGGGTTTTTTTGTTTGTTTGTTTGTTTGTTTGCCATTTCTGGTGGTGTGTTGGAGAGGCAACGCATTGTTACCAAAAGATCATCAGTTCAAACCCACCAGCTGCTCCACAGGAGAAAAATGAGGCTCTATATGCCTCTACTACCTTGAGAGACACTATCCAAGATAACCATGAGTCAAAAGGGACTCAATAATAGCAGTGTGGGTGGCAGTTGTTTTTTGTTTGTCCCCTTTTCTTCTATAATAAACCATTTATAAGGAGCTCTGTTGGTATAGCAATTACATGCTCTGCTACAATCAAAAAGATCAGCGGTCCAAACCCACTAGCCCACCCCATGAAAAATGTGGCAGTCTACATCCACAAAGATTTACAAACCCTGTTGTCAGTTCTACTCTTGTCCTTATTGCACTACTATAAGTCAGAATTAACTTGCTTAGTTTTTTTAATTTAGTACTAGCCTTGGAAGCTGAAATAGCTATAAGAAAAATAAAATGTATCCTATTACAACTGAGATTCCCTAGTATTCAACAGCCAGCAGTAATTATATATCATATCTAAAAAGTCTTGTCAGTAATCCTTTTGGAGAATTCATTCAAATTCACCAACTTGACCTTCCCACCAAAGGTTTCCCCAATTTCTTAAGTTGGGAGTTAGGAAACAGTATTAGAGGTAATATCAAAGCCCAACAAATCTCAATCTGGCTGAGGGACTTTAATTAGTTTATTTCCAACAGTTTCACTGACATACAATTCATATAGCCGACATTTCACTAGGTCAATCACTTTCTTAAGAACTGTGCAACCATCACCACTGTCAATTACAAGACATCTCTTCTTCCTTGTATTCTTTGTTGCTAGCTCCCCATTTTGACCAGCCTTCAAGCGGAGGGACTTTTTGTTAGGCTTTAAAGTTTAAGAAAATGTCTCAATCGATTAATAGAAAACTACCAATTACAGCACTGAAATGCACTAAAAAGTATGGTCAATTACCAAAAACAAAGCAAGGATTTCTGAGTGCTACAAAGAGAGAAGTTGAGGAGAGGTGTAATCTACACCAGACTGGCAAGACTTCTGTAAACGGACAAGGTAATCAATAGTTTAACCTTTGTGGTGACTGGTACAACTACACTCAACTCTGCACTACTGTAGTGGCAAAGCAGCCACAGACAACAGCTAGATGAGTAGGCATGACTGGCTTCTAATCAAGTTTATTTACAAAAATTAGAAGTAGTTTGCCATTATCAAACTAAACCTCATGTTAAAAGTATGCTGTGTGATCATGTTCACATAGCAACTTTTGCCAGTTTAAAACTGAAGCAGAAAACATTAAGATAAAGTAATGTAATAAGTAAAATTTTAATAATTATCCTCATGAAGGAACTTTATCCTTATCCTGTGTAATAAACCCCTTTATATAATTTTACAATTTTAACTCAATTACTTGGCTATGCATATTTCAATCTTAAAAAGATATTAAGGATATAAATTAAAATTTAAACTTACTAAATGCTCCCAGCGTCTATTACTTTGTACAGGCCTCAGGATTCACATTTCTACAGAAAGCAAAAAAGAATACAATTTTATGTGTAGAAGACAAAAGTAGATGGAATGTTTATACCAAACTTTTTTCACTCCACTCACACAGTAGTCCAAAAGATCTAGGTATTTATGAGCAAATGTCCAAACGCTGTTACTCTTTAATAATTAAATTTCATTTACTTGTCTTTAAGCTACTTTCAAACCTATTAGAAAATTTCCATTACCTGCCTGCAAGTAATTTTCTCTTTCCTTAATTTTACCATGCTTTACATTATTTGTACTTTAATTTAAAATATTCTAAGATAAAGTACTAGAAGGGAAACCTTAGACACCACTCCCAAATATTAACAGTTGTGTTAATGTACTAAATAACACAAACTAACTTCCTAAAATACATACCTGTTAATAAAATTATTCTTTCCATACTTATCATTTGTTGAACTTAAAAACACTCCACAAATTAAATGCGGAAAGCAATGATCCTAAAATCAGAAATCGTTTTTGAATACATGTTATGCAGGCTTTGTATCAGCAACCTCTCTGCTCCTTAGGTATGATTATAACATTGACAATATGTAATTTATTTTTTAAAGCTGTTCAAAGTTTCGATGAAAACACAGCAATTGCAGGTTTTTAAATGGATAAAAAAGCAGACTTTAAATTTAGAAATTACCAATTAAAACTAAACTACTCAAATGCTAGTCCTAGTCCATGTTTCACACCATAACACTTTTAATTCTCCAAATCTAAAATTCTTTATAGTCATTTTGATTAATCATAATCAAGAAATAGCAAAGATGTGTTTCAAAATTACCTACAGGAGTAAATATACCGGATAAGGGTATCCTTCCAATAAGTGAATTAAATCAGGCAAATTTAAAAGCCTAGCACTTTTTTTCTAACCTTTATCAGAGAATTCTGTGAACAAAGATAAGTGAATCAACCAGGTAAAATAAATGGATTCAACCCGAAGAAAAGAATAGATCAAATTTTCATGAAGGAAATGTCTTATGAGAATTCTTTCACATTGATCTGGTAAGGTATTTGATAATATGACATAACTGGCTTAAACACATCAAAAGGCAATTGCTCAGAAAGGCCTATAGATCTGAAATACTACTATAGAATGCAGTTCTCCTATGACCCACAAGGGGTCGTGATGAGTCAGAACCAACTATGGCAAAGTCGTGTTTGGTTTTGAGCACAAGCATGTGCCTTTGGATTCTATCACATCCAAAAACAGGATAAAGACTTGGATTTCACTTCACACCGACACAAAAATTGACACCAATGCAGTTTATAGCATCTTTCAAAAAAATGATAAAGTTGGAAATAACGCTTTCACTTCTTTGGGTGGTGAGCATAGGAAGGGGACCAGTCTACAATTAAAGCTGTCAACAAAAATGGATATACTGCACATCTCTGTAGCTAATCTTAATCTTTTATAAAATTATGTTTTCCGTCTTAGTTAATGTGGCATAGTTGTTACACCTTGGGTCAATAGTTCAAAACCACCAGCTGCACTTTGGGAGTAAGATAAAGCTTTCTACTCCTAAAAAAATTTACAACCTTGCAAATCCAAAGGGACAGTTTTAATTAGACCTACAGGGTCCATTATGAGACAGAATTGACTCGATGGAAGAAAGTCTGCTTTGTGTTTTTCTCTTGGTTAATATTAAAATTACAATATGGTATAAATAACCATTCTTGCTGATGGATCTATTATTAATAAAAAGGAACACTTACTGTATATATACTTGTGCATATGCCGAGTTTCAGCACATTTTTAATGCTGTTTTTGTGGTAAAATTAGGTGCCTCGGCTGATATTTGGGTCAGCTTATACTTGAGTATATACGGTAAGTCAATTCTTGTCATCTTTTTGTGCTTTTATAGCATACTTCATTTCGCCACCCTTTAAGTCCTTAAAATGGTATTTATTAAACATAAAATTGAGAGCACTAAGGAAACTACAAAATAAGGCAGCACAATAGCTATTAATAAGAAACCTTAGCCAAGTGGACTCACAACCAAGCCATAATAATTACACAAAACATGACTTGGTTGATAATTTAAGATGATTGCTATATCATACACAGTAAAGATTAAAATTGTTCTTCAGGAAATACCCAATCTCAAATAGCTTAATTTCAAAAGGAAAAAGGAGTAGTGTCAAAAACATAGATCTATCTAGCTTTATACTACAAACCAAAAATGTTATAATAGAAAACATTCTACTTGAAAAGTATACGAGTCATGTATGAAAACCGGTTATCTATGAGTTTCAAAATAAATGGGCATGTAAACTTTACATATCATGTCATTATAAAAGAATATCAAATTGGGAAAAAATGAATATATGCAATCTGAAAGAGAAACTTATTTGACAAAATGAGGCTATTTATGTCGGAACGTAGACTTACAACTGATTATACCAGACATGTAAATTAGCCCACCTTGCTTATACTCTTGATGATCAACCACAAGTTAGCTAAAAATACTTTAAAATTTACATCAAATATATTTAATAAACGACAAAAATAAAATCAATGCTTTCACTGCAGCTTCTAAATCTGAATTTTCTAAACCTTATTGCTTTATTAGAATAAATTTCTCAATATCTAAATTCATACTAATTACTATTTTGGAATATCTAAAATATCAGTTAGGATCAGGTATAACTTAACTTGACCCATCTTAACATTATATTCCAATAGTTTCATCACAAAAACACACCTTATTTGCAATGCAAATATTTAGCTACACTAGTCTCCAACTGACATAAACAAGGCATGCCTTAAAATTTTTTACTCACTGTAAAAGCTAAAAGAGATCTAAAGAGATTATACTAAATTCCTTATACAAAGTAGGAGACTAAGGTCTAGAAGGAATAAATTAAGATTACAGATTAAACAAACTTAAATTAGAATCCAAGTCTCCAGATTGTTGAATCAGTTATATTTTCTACTATATCATACATCTTCATTAAAAACATATGACAAATGCTGTCCTATTCAATCAACAATTCTTTCCGAAGTAATTTTTATAATTCAAGAATTCCAAAAATTTATAGTCCAAAATTCCAAAATAAAAACAAATGCTTACATATTTATTTTGGTTCCTAAACATAAAAAAGCGGAGTAGACTAACATTTTATCTTTCTCACAAAATAAAGCACTTTGAAATGACAGTATTGATATTTGTCCTAAATTAGCGGATTCTTTACCTTAGGACATCTGTTAACTATACAGGTTGGCTCAGTTTACTTTTTAAATACCAAATATCAGGAAGCTGTATTCCATTAGATTGGGGAGATTAGGGATAAGATTACTATATCATTTATGAGGGGTGTTTTTTTTGTTGTTTTTTTCTTGGGGTAAATAGAAAAAAAGCATAGAACATTTCAAGCCTCCTCTGGTAATTTTTTTTTCTTTTCCATGAATCAAATCACTTAGATATGTTACTAGAAATTCATTGCAATTTATACTTAACACATATATTATGTTCCAAACAGGTTTCTACTTTAAGAGCATAGATTCTCAGTATTTTTAATAGTACCAAGCCACACCTAAGTGCCAATCCAGTACCTGATGGTTTTACACAGGACAACCTAATCTTGGGTATTTGTATTTAAGAATCATGGGGTGATGGATGTTTTTTTGCCGTTGGTTATCTTTAAAATACTATAGTTGAAAACATTTAGTTTTATTTTGCATACTAAACAAATAATTTGAACAATCTATAAAGGGTTAAAAAGAAAATAAGCTAAATCAAAAGCAAAAATATTCGTTTTGTCACTTATTTGAATCTTTAAGAGAAGGCAGTATGGAATGATAGGATTTTACTTTAATTGGACATAAATTTCAGGATAAACATAGCCTCATTTTAATTACTTGGTTGTTCTGCTATTCTTTAAATTTTCCCTTTTTATTCCTTACTACATATTTTATCTACCAAATCACTAAGTATAAATTTCACACAAGCATGAATTTCACAATTCAGTACTAACTTATGCATAGAGCATTTCCTTAAAAGTAACAATGGACGTATTTTCCCATTTATGTATTTAGCTTTAGGGAATTGCTTATTTGGTATGTTGGGCACAAGTCAAATTATTTTTTTTCCTTTTATGCTTTACAATTATTACTTAACTACATATTAAGTCTTTTTAGATACATTATTTTATTTTAATAAAGATGTCATTTCTGTACCTGCTTGAAAACAAATGCATGAAAACTGGTAGTATATTTTGAACGAAATGTGAAGGAATTTGAAATGCAGATCTCCTAAAAAGTTTTAAGGTCAGTAAATGAAAAACTCCTAAGGCCAATTTTAAAATGTCATCTGTACCATCTTCTTAAAAAATGCTTTTATTTCTGATTGTGAAGATGTCTAATTCTGACATCTACGACAGCTTTAACCATAATTCTGAAGCATCATTTTAGCGGGAAGTATCGCATGCCTAACTCTGGTAAAAAATGGCACATATTGAATATTTTTATACGAAGCTGTTTTAACAAAAGATGGAAAAGAACCTGTTGAGATTGTCCTCATTTTTCGAACTAAATAAACAGTATGTTTACTTTTAAAACTTCAGTGATTCTTTCCTAGTCTAAAGGTTGGTGGAGAAGTTACTTACCTGCTTCATAAATAGAATGTTCCAAAACTCTTCTCTTCTTCAAAGCTACACCTCCACCTTCATCTGTTTTCAAAATGGGAAAAAAACATCATTGCCCTACAAAATTTACTGATGAGCCAATAAATAACAAGTGTTTTAAAAATACCTACATCTTAAAATATTCTTCCTAAAATCTATCAGTTTGAAAACAATTAGCTCAAAATGTCCAATAAATTTTAAAGATTAAAATTCTTTGCATGGTATATATAAATCACAGAGCTAAAGCATGTATCGGTTCATGATTTTCCTCAAACAAGTTTTTTACTTCCAAAATTAAGGCTTAAAGGACATTTAATATTTTAAATTATTCAAATGGTTCAGTTACCATGCCTATGCACATTACTTTCATCTTTGAGTGAAAAGGTTTAAAGGCTTTATAAAATTACATCAGATATTTAACTCGTATTACTTTTTAAAAAGCACACAAATACATAAATATTCACTGATGGGAAACAAATCAAACATCAAAATTGAAATCGTGGATACTCTATTTTTATAGTAATCAAAATGTGCGCAATCTTACCTTAAAACGGTGCTATCTCTTCAGAACCATCTACCACAAAAATTCATTTCTATCTTGTAGGTTTACCTTTGGGAAAAAAGAAAAGATACATTGTGATTTTTAAGCATCTTTTGGCCCAAGTTTCGATAAGCAACAATATTCCATACAAAGGACAAATGGACAAATATTTCAGAGATCTATAAATTTAAGATTGCCGTTATGTCTTATCCAAACATCAGTCTTTGTTTCCCTCATCTTTTGGCTGCATAGACAAGCTTTAGGGATTAAAGCCCTGAGATTAAAAAAAATAATTACAGTACATTCAAATCTCTGGAGATTGAAGATTATGGCCTTGTTTTTATCTCTTTCCCCTTTGAATGCAAAGCAATACATATCAACTAAGGGATATTTCACCATTCTTATGGACTGAATTAATCTTAAATATTCCTTTGCCCTCTAGAAACACCTTTTAAAATTATGATCAAAAATTAACTCCTCCAAGAAAGAACAGTAAAGTTAAAATGGCCACTGGTTACTTTAATTTTTAAACCGCCAAGTTATTTGATCTCATGAAGTGGGATATTAACTTTGTCTTTAAAGCAAGATTAAAACTTGTAGTATCTGTGACCTTTATGCAATTTCAGAGCAAGGTCTGGCACATTTTCAGTCTCTCCCCTTCCCCCATTTATCATGTAAAAGGATCTCACGATGGTCAACTGCTAGCAATTATTACACATTAGTCACAAAAGATTCAAAATATCCATTTAAAACCAGTTTGTGTTCAAAATTTCAAGAATGTTCCCTTGCAGAACCAAAATGGACACTTAACAGAATCTTGAAAAATCAAGATATGCGCAACTGATGAAACTGATGTACTATGTAATTAAGAGCTACTTGGGAAATAAATTCATTTTACTACCAAATAAATATCCTCAGAAACTTGATTGCATAAACCGGCATCTTTGATTTTAAAAATACTACCTACGCATGCCCCACACTTTTTACCTAGATTTTGCACCTTTACAACAGAAGAGCGACCATCGAATGAAGACAAATCTAGAACATACAATGGCTTGTGCATTTAATTTGTTCATTATATTTAAATTGTTCCTTATGCAACTTTTTAAACCCATACACTACAAATGTAAAAAACAAAAATTTCTGAAGCCACTACATTTTCAAAATCTCTGATTTCAGCACCATCTACCTTATTTTTATACATGCAACAAACATGGCTCCTCTTCATCGCCCATCACCGATCGCAGCCCTACTTTTACTATTTACACTACAAGAAAGTAACTTCACGGAGAGATTTCACGGTAAAATGGTTTCTTGGCTAAGTATTGCCGACTACGACCTATGCTGACAGACAAGATTTAAAAATAAAATAATCGACTTAAACTTTTAAAACTCTGGAAACTGACTCAAGAACGTCCTAACATTTTGGGGTGAGAAGTTACAGATAACGGCCCCTGGTGATCTCCAGAAAAGTCTATTTTTTAAAAAAAGGATGGCAAACGACCTTGTTAACTCCGGGGTAAGGTAGACTATCAAAATCCAGCGTCATCATCCATCTAACCGATTGCCAGGAAATAGTCAACTTGTCTTGCGATTTTTTGAAACCCAGCCGCCCTCCTCCAACTCGCGTTTTTGTTATTTTATTTTTTTTTAAAAAGGCAACCTGAACGTCACAATGGTTTCCAAGAAGTAAAAGTTAACACTGTGACGATACAGCCTGTTTTCCAAATGGCTTTGAAAGAGTTAAAAGCCAACACCCAAAAACGGGAGAAGGGGGTAAAAAAAAAACAAGTTTTATTTTTTTCTTTCCACGCCGTCGGGGTTCCATTGTTCTTTTAAATTCAACCAGGAGGATGGGGTTTCCACCTAACCGGAAAGAGGCTAGAAGAGCTCCCAGCTGGAAAATCTGGCTCGGGGATTTTTCACCCCAAAATATCAAAGTCACTCACCCAGGCTTCCCGACGGGAGATCCCCTCGCGCGACCGGTCCCCTCCGGCCTCGGGCCTGCGGTCCCCCGCCCGCCCCGCCGCGGGGTCCCGGGCGCCCCGGCCCCATCCGCGCCCCCCGGGGACGTCCGGCCCGGGAGAGCCGGCCCGCCACCCCCTCCGGTTCCGAGCGCGCTCAAGGACATTTTGTGCTTCCTCCCAAGGACAAAGGACAATAAACGGCGCCGAGAGCCACTCACCGATTGCGGACG